ATCTCACTTCCAAAGAGACTTTTTACATTCCTTGTTTCTAATAAAACTCAATATTTGCTTAAGACTATTGGTGCAGCTGAACAGAACCATTTTAAAACCATGCCTTTCTATACATATTGACACTGTCGAAGATAGCAGTGTGAGCAGATTACATATCTTTTGATTCCCTCTGATGATCACTCTGCAATTCTCCTTCCTCATGATGAAAAAATCCTCTTCATGTGTTTTGCTGATCCAGCTAAGCAGAGTGACTGTGGAAATGAGAAAGTGCTTAGAATGCTTGTGAAGCGCTAAAACAATAGTCATGCTCTAGAAATGAAGACGCACATGGGGTTAATTATAACGAAGTCTATTAATCAATCCCTCTCAGCAGCAGCAACTGCTGTTGGTAATTTGGCCTAAATGCATTCAAAAATACTCATGAAAAACGTCGCAATTAGCAAGACAGCCACGGTGAATTATTGGCTCTAAATTAGGGGAAGATTGGGTTGTTGCCAGGCTGGGAAGCCATGGCGGTGTCACGACAGTCCCGGAGAGCCTTAAGTAAGCATAATAGGTGAAAAAAGGCAAAGAGATCATAGGAAAAAAATAAAAGAGGGGATTCTTAACTTATTGCGCACGAGCATTAGGGGGGCACTGCTGCCAGATGGGAAGTTGGAGTCAGAGCTCTCTTTGGGGCACACTGAGCCATTTGGCACCAACCCAAATGGGTAATTTCACAGGGTAGAAAAAACACTGTCAGACGAAGATCACTAACAAAGCAAAACTTGAGCAAAGATAGGAAATGTAAACCATTTCATACATCAGCTCATCAGCTTTGAGAGGCGCATGGTGAGCAATATCATCATTGCAGCGCTGCATGGGGTAATTAGCGCTGCAGTGTCTAGCGAGGCATGTCCTGTGCACGCACACAGCTCGTGGCTGTTGACGCATGTGTTGTGTATATGTGTAAGATGTTATTAAGGTGTACAAGAGCTGCGGGGGCATTGCCGGGTGAGGCTGAACATGTCGATATCAGAGGGGGGTTTCTTTAACATAGATTGCTATAACACCGCTACTATAAAGGCAGCTGTGTGCATGCAGATTCCACGGCTAAATTGAATTCCACGCTTTCTGTTGGCTCCCACTGTGTAGTGAATCCACACAGGGATAGAGTTGCAGTGAAGCTGTTGTTTAATGTATTGTGTGCATGTGGGAAACGCCAGAGATATTCGCTCTCCGGCGGTGCGCACATACCTACATACAGAACATCCCCTCAGGAGATGGTGATAGGCTGGTGAATGAATTACAAATAAGTACATTTCATCATACAGGAATTTAAGCAAATGTGCTTGGGTAGCTTCATCGTTAGGAAGGCAGAATCATCCTTCTGGCTTAATTGTGAGCTTATTAAATTGAAAGAATTCTCTGTAAGTTCCTCTTTGTGCCAAGCAGAGGAGTGGAGGGAATCAAGAGGAACAGCACTGTTCCATATGCATGGTTGGATCGGGCTTAATTGCAGCGTAGGGGCACACTGAGATCAGATGGTATGGACTAAAAGGCTGGCGATGTGAGGCACCCACCCTGAATATGTGCTAAAAGAGGAAATGTGTGGAGTGTCAGCCAGACAGGCAGGCAGGGGGCCGGTGGAGAGCTGGAATCACAGCGGTGAAGCTGAGGTAAATTCTGCCTCTGAGGATCAACACTGTCTCAAAAAGTTTCTTGAAATAAGAAGAGTTTGAAGTTGTAGATTATGCATTGTGGGCATAAATAATGCACGTACTACCTTACTGCAACCAGAAAGAATCTTTTGAAGATACTTATAGATCTTGTTTATGCAATCATTCCTTCGAGTAAAGAAAAACATCCTGTCTTTACAAAACGTGTACTTTTGATTTTGGCCTGTTGGTCATTCTCTAAGGCATGGGAAAATTAGTTTAATGACTGTAACATGGGCTCATTTCTAGAAGCTTATGAAGGACACTGATCATGCAACAATGTCCCCTCAAAGGAAACAGAATACCTTTGAGGAAAGGTGAGAAAGTCAAGCCTAATGAAATCAAAGAAACGAGAGCGCTAAAAAGATCACCAAAAACTTTGGTTTATGATCGTACTTTGGTTGGCATCGGTTGTCAGAAAACAAAGCTCTTATTGGTAGTTTGAGGTGTAATAGGAACACACTAGTCATGATACAGCCATGGTGGAAACAAAACCCAAAGAAAAACAGAAAACCAGTTACCTATCATGCATCAGAGAGAGATAATGGTGCACTTAGGCCTCATTTTTACACACAAGGCTCGTCCCAGTGGAAGGCGCCCCTACTGCTTTACCAGCTTAGGGTGTCAGCATGCCCTTAAAACTCCCAGGAGTCCTTTATCATCATGTTCAGACTCCATAAAACGCAGCTTATTACACTAAATCTGTCATGTGCTTTAATATGGATCACCATTTGATCCCCCAGCATCAATCACAAAAACACAACGGCAAAGTCAATGGCATAAGAGCCCAAGATGAATTCCTGCTGTCCAACTTTCTCAACACTTATGGGGTTTTCTCTTTTAACGTATGGATGCCCAGGGTTTTATTATGCTTGCTGAACTTTCCTGTATTTGTGCTGTATTTGGGAAAAGTTGATGTCAGATCTGCAAGAGTGTATTACACTAATATTAATTTGCTTCCTCTTGGATAGATGTAGGATATATGGCAATGCCACAGAAGAGCGGTGTAAAGCGGACGGATCGATGCCAGAGAAGAAGCCTCTGGCAAAATACAACAAAGGCGGAATACAGCAGAGGCGTCCTGGTGGCTTGGCAGTTTAGGACACACGCCACATGGTCAATCCATGGTGGGATTCAGCACAGTTGGGTACTACTCCTTGTTGCAAGCTCTGGCATGCTCTTCTGCAAAATCATGCCACAAAACTAATCTTAATGGTGGTACATGTAGCAGTTTTTGAATCATTATATGCCTAAGAAAAAAATTACTTCCGATACCTCTGTTTGAAGACATTCTCAGCAGAATTGGAGGCTTCTCAATAGCTCGTCTTTGTTTTTTGGCTGTACTTTGAGGAGATATGTCTTGGAAAGGATTTTCCCCTTTGGCCATCGTGAGATTCTCCAAAAGATTTAGCTCCATTCCTGCTGGAGGAACAGTACGCCTTTCCAGTGTTTCTGCCATGATGAAATCCAGGAATTTGTCTCCAAAATAAGACTGGATGAAAGACAATCAATTTGCCATGAGGAGATTTGTACATGGCATCATGTTTTCTGCTTCTCCATGGCATGTCTGCAAGGATTATCAACTACACCTCTGAAATTAAGCTAGGTGGAGGGATATCAGGACTCAAAGTCCAATCTAAGTCCAATTTAAACTTTGTCAAATGTACTTTGCTTAACCTATCACCAAAATTGGACCAAAAACAAGACAAGTACCATGTAGAGACTCAAAAGGCTACATTTTCTACTTTATTAAAAATAGAACCTTTCAGGTATTCAAATATGCAAGGTGAATGGATACAAAATCATAATTGTTCAAATGAAAGCCCAACACAATCTTCGTCCTATCTTTTGTACTTAAATGAATCAACCCCAAATCTGACAAGATCCAAGACCATGAAAATGCCTTGAAGAAACCTTAAAAGGCATCACATTCTTTGGTTCAAGGTCTTGTCTGCAGGGAGTTAACAAACAAACCTATATGGTTGCAAAATATGGAAGTGGAAGGATACAACATGGTACTTATTCCCATCCAAACTGAGTCCAATCTGCTGTTCATTGCTACGCTCAAAGTTCAAACATTCAACTCTTTCCCGGAGAGTTGGCACGGTCTCACACAGCCTTGGACAACATCATCTTTCTTGGCGATCTTTAATGACCTTCATCTCATATCCCAGCTTCTGTCTGTTCACCATCGTCATTCTAGACAGTATGGCATCAAATAGAGCAAGAAAAACAAATGCTGCAAAAGTGAAAGAGTGACCCTCAGACTGAACTCAACAGCTTCCACTCAGATTGTATGTGACAGCTGTCCCTCAGCCAGTGCTTCTACAGCGACGGCCTGCGTTTCTGTCCCGGAGCGATGGTAATGCCGTCGCCAAGACGGAAGGAAAAAAAAAAGGCAGCACCTGACTCCTGATGTGCTGAAAAAAACCTTTTAGCAGGCGGGCTGCCATTGCATCTGTGAGAATTAGATGCATGTCTTGTACAGCTAATGGTGCTATTTAAGGAGCAGTGAAAGGAGATGTGATTCAGTTGGAAGCTAGTAAAGCAGTTATTTTTAAAGATGAGTTTCAAGCCTGTATCAGATGTTTGCCTCTATTTTTCTGACTGGATTTGGAAGGTCACACCATCTTTTGGGTAACTCCAAAATGGCAAAGATTAACTGATGCTGAGGTCATGACTCAACGATTGGATATTAAGATAGAGTTTACACAGACATGAGCTACCCTTTACAAATGAAATCCACTTCAGCTTTTGCCCTCTTAAAAGAAACAGAAAAGGGAAAAGCTATTACATAGAACACAACAGCTTCCAAAGACGACACCATGAAAGACGCCTGTTTTTGTGTGTAAACAGAAAATGTAATTAAATAGAAAACAGGACTTTTCACAGACATTTGATCCCTTTGTACAGCAAACCAGAAGATTAATTTGCCAGGGTAGTGGGTACATGACTTCAAAAGTTGAGCTCCAATTTTGTGACTTAATTAAAAAGGCCTTATTAAAGCTTTATATGTGGGTGTAACACAAGTCAAACATAAGCATTTATGGTGCGGGAAATGAAAATGTATCTGGCAGTGTGCTGCAAAATGAAACCCCTCACTCTCAAAAAAAGTGCGATGAATGATGCACTGTGGGAGTTAAAAATAAGTCCTCCAATGGCTTACCAATATTGCTGTAACATATGTGATGTGCTGGTGTATACATGCTTTCAAAATATTCTTTATTAAACTTGTAAAAGTGCAACTGGCATGTGGATTATGCATTTCATTTAATATGTCAACACACACTCATTCATTCATACCTGTGAGGTTGCGTAGGCCAAGCTGCCTCAGGCCATAGTACCCGTCCCGCCTGTAGTTCAGGAAGATCGCCAAAGAGTAGTGATGCCCGTACAGTTTTGTGCCTCGGATGATCCGGAGATTCTCCAGGGGAAGGTAATCGAACTGGTTGAGAGCCACCAACACGTAGCCGGTCACTTCTCTGATTGACTGCATGGGGACAAAAAGAAACCAGCACATTTAATATACACTGTGAGGCTCACATTCAATGGTCAAAGGTTTCATTCAGTATCTTGTGAATGTTTACAATACCCAACTTAATACTTCAATAACAAGCCCAATGCAACAGTGGCAAGAGAACGCTTCCTTTTGATTGGCAGAACTCCAGAGGAACTGGACTCATGGGTGGAGTGCCATCTGCCTTGCAAATTGATTTGGATTATGGGTAAGGCAGATTGAACAATTCTGCTTTTCTCAGTGATCCACCAATACCATGGCAAATGCCAAAGTAGAAAATAGTATAACCTATTTGGTAGTTCCCAAAAAATTAAAAGGGTATAACCAAAGGGTATCATTTGATTCAGGAAACTAAGCCAAAAACTGCAGCAAGTGAACACACAATTGCCCATTCTGTAATTTACATATTTGCCTCCACTCTTAGTTTTCAGATACAAAATGCCTTTCTGCTGCCACTCCTGTCTCATGGAACACTGTCAAAGGCGGTAATTCATTCCTCTCCTTTTCCTGTGCACAGAGCATGTTATTTGCATTTTCAAATGTCAAGCTCATGAAAATTTGGACATACAGTCCAATGTGATTAAAATGTCAGCCCAATTGCAGACTGATTACATGTCTCCTGTGATTACAGCTGGTCTTTAAGGCTTGAAAATCCATGATACCGGGGAATGCGACACCGGTGGAGCCAGAAAACGGTCGCACCATTAAAACCAATCATTTCAATTCAAAATACAGCATGTATATAGCATGTTATATGTGGAAGATTTGACTTTATACATAAATGGCATTGGAACATTGGATCAGGTATGACAGAATTCTTCTTTGACTCAAAAAAGAAGAAGAATTTTGTGTCTTTTAAAGCGATAGTTCTTGGCTGTAGAGCCTGGTTGAGACACAAATAAACAGTCCTGAATGCCAGTTCAGTTGAACCTCTTAAAAACCACAAAAAATAATCAGACTGATTACCTCTGCACTTGACGAGGGGAAATTAATTCAACTGCAAAGTCAGGATGGAGGTTAGGGCCGAGGCTAGCTTTTGAATTTCTGAATATTTTTATCCTAATTCTGCAGCAGAGTGTTTTAGCTTCATTGTGAGGTCATCCCTCGAAAAACCAAGGAAAAACTTTACGGAGTCAAAGGGCAACAATCATGATGACATGAAGAGATAATAGAAGAAAGCTGAGAAACAACTTCTTTTGGCTGGCAGCCCTTTCAATGGAGTTGGCAGCAGATCACTACAGCATCATATACAGATAATGAAACGTAGCTTATGTGCATGAATAAAACACAGCTTCTTGCCTTGTTGCAACAGCTCCATCTCTGTGGCAATGCAATATTCATCTGAGTCACTCAAACAACAGCCTGAGCTGACTTCTACACATGCAGAAAAACACTCACTTACACACATACAACAGCTGTTAAATGCCACACTAACACATTTTAACCACAGCCACTGACAAGCCAAATTAGAACACATTTATAAGTGGGGGGAACAGATCTGCTTTCAAGGTTCAGCACTGACACAAGAAGGCATTGTTTGCAGCAGTGAACAGATTTTATTCTTGTGGCTTCATCTTTTTTATTGTTGGGGAATCCTTTTTTTTTTCTTTTTTTTTTTCAGCAAACACATAAGTGAAAAAAAACCTGCTGTTCCTTAACTGTCCACTTGAGGCTGGCTGCAAAACCCAATTATACCCTTTCCAGTGTTTACAGCAGAAATAAACATGTTAACAGCATGGCTCAAAAAAATGGTTTTAGTCTACTAGCATTAACGCTAACTAGGTTGCCTCTTACTACATAGTCGGAATATTCAATATGCGAAAATGTCATTATTTGGCGTCAAAACACCGCTTCTGAAACCAATGGGGGATGTCACTGCGACCAATTGAAACCTAACTTCTTCAGTTGCTCCTTCATCAAATTGTAACCTCTTAATCACAGCTATTTTAAATATCTGTAGCAGCAGGCCGCTAAAGAGACTCCCTAATGACCAGAGACAGGCGAGATGATTGGTTAGCAGGGAGGGAACAGAATGAGTAATGCAAGGTTGGATTGGCTACTGACCCCCTTTGGGACATTAGTCGAGACTGACAGTGAGAACCCAGCATGTGGAGTGCCTGCTTTTCAGGATAATAGCAAGTAGCCGAGATTAGCTTCTATATCGAGCGCTTGGCAAACACGCGCATCTGCCAGGTTGGCCTATTGTAGCAGTAACACAATGGGCAGGAAACAGACAGTGGAGGTGCTTATTAGCAAGATTACAATGTGTCAATCACCTGAGCAGAGAAAGAACAACATAATGAAAGAGCAGTAGACTCCATTGCAGCTGAGGCTTTGATTAGCATACTTATTGCAAAAAAGGACTGCTATTGTGAGGTACTTTACTGCCTGTCAAACCCCCTTGCTGGAATCATTCTCTGTCAGATATGTAGGTTGAATTGGTTCTGTGTTTGCCAGAAAGTTGGCAACTTGCTCAACTTCAGTCAACTTGTGAATCAGCCTCAGCACCAAAAAAAAAAAAACAGGCTCTCTTCTCCAGGGCGGGCTTCTTGATCCGACCCTGTAGTGAGAACTTGTGCCTTTAACTTGAATTCTGACCTTGTGTTTACAGCTGAGGGGCCGGGTAGCCTCTAAAGCTCGCCCCTCGCTATCCGCCGTAACCCTCGGGTGTCTGCCATGGGTTGCCATGACTCATTTGAGGGAAGGGTTTTTGCCCGACCCAGCTGTAGGCACGCACTGGGCTGCTGGCAGACTCAACAGTGCCTCCACTGTGCCCTCGTCTCCCTGGCAGCCTCCGGGACCCTCTGGCGCAAGCAAAGAAAAACTGTTTCCCTGTTGCCTAGCAACCGCAGGAAAGCCTTCCAGCGGGATCGAGTTAGAGCAAAGAGGGAGAGAGCACCAAGACGAAAGAAACCAAACCCAGACTTAAAGGATTTTTTGTTGTAATTTAACTAATTAAATTAAAGGATTACTTTCGCCCTTTCTTTGTCATTTTCTTTGGCTTTGACACTTTTAATTTCCTTCCGTTGCATATTTTTATTTATTTCAAGAAAGCTCTCTAGATCAATATTTGCCTGTGTCGAAAGGAAGGCGACAAAGAGGAGCGAGGTCCAGAGGGGAAGCAAACACAAGCACCTGCATTTCCCCTCCTGCCACATCAGCCGCGCTCACACAAACACAGCAAGCCGAAGGACGCTACACTCGGAGAAGCGGCCCCCTTTTTTTTCGCTGCTGCCTTGAAGGTAATGTGTTGTGATGCTTAACAAGCTGGACGGATGAAATGATGCTTTACCACTTGTATCCTCTCTGAAAAGAAGAAAAAAAAAAAAAAAAAAACGCCTTAACAAGGTGAGGGCAGGGCTAATATGCAGCGACAAGGTGCACGAACGCTGGACCGCTCGCAGACATCTCCTTCATCCTCCCATAAAATCAACCTCTCGCTCCCGAGTGTTGAGCATGATTCAAAAAGAGAACAAAGCGCGGAAATCTTTAAGACGTATGGCACAGGTCCAGGTCATTATTTTGCAATTTCGACTGCATCTTCTGATCCAAGCATGACTCCAAAGGATCAGAGTGTTCTTCTGTTTAGAAAGCCACAAAGGGTTTGTCAAGACTTTTTTTTTTTTCTTTTTTTTTCTCCGTTACACACACAAACAGGCCCCCTTAGATATTCCAATAACCCCCACCTACGCGCAACAGAAAAACACAACCACAAGGCACAGACAAGACTCAGGTCAGATACCCATGATGCATTGCAAGTTGAACATTTCCTCTAGCGCTTTTCTCCATCAATCGCAGGCAATTAGCGGCCTAGCGCTGGAGCTCTCAGTCAAACAGAATCCTCCGTAGGTCCCGACAGGCTTCTTTTCCTCTCTTCTTTTTCGGAATATCCTCGAGGCGAAAAACGTGATTTTCACATGTTGGTAAATTGCTTTTTGCATCTCTGGGATGCAATGCGTCAAGGCGAAAGGCAAAAAGAGCCAAACGTGCTTTATTTCCCCCTCACCGCAAAACATAATCATGATAGAAGGCGGCTGTGTGGCTGTCTTGGAAACAGAAAGTGCTTGATATTACAGCTGAGAGTTGCCGCGCTCAGGCACCTGTAACCCCCCTCCAGATATGTGGAAATGTTTGCAGTGTCTCGCAGTATGGAAACACACTCGCAGAGGCTTGGAAGGAGTTCTATCTGAATGCGAGCCAGTATTGAAAACACCAAGAATTGTCTTGCATAGTAAACACTTTGCTGAGTGAATGAATCTGGGCCTCCTCTGCTGATGCATTACACTATTGTGTGTCCTACTCTTTCAACAATTGATAAAAAGAACAGACAAAGAGATTGAAAAAGGACACAATGAAGTAACTACGTCTTCCTTAGAAGTCAAGAACTTCCAAATTGATCTCTTATACTACCTAAAAGACACTTATGTAAGCTAACCTGCTCTATGTTTTTAGGCTAATTGCCTCAATTTCTACCCTATTTTTTCAATTCACTCTGCAGATACTAGCCGAGCCAAAGCAGCCAGTTGATTTGCATACAAATTTCTCCATTTTCACTCTTCCCAAGAATCGCCTTTGGGCTTCACCCAAGATTCACAGAAAAACGCTGAATAAGAGAATTTAAGCAGCAGAATTAAGAGAATTTAATTAACATGAATTGTGTCACTGCATACTCTCCATGTGGATACATGTCTATACCGTTTATTATTGTGCTGAATTTTGAAGCTTTCCATTGGTCAAGGTCAACACATGCAAATTTACAAGGAGGGTTGGGAAAAGCCCCCGTGTGACGCCATGAAATCTGATTATTGCCTATTACAAGACTCTAATTTCGCCTCAGGAAATAAAGAATGTGCACATGTATGGAAGCCGGGGCTGCCATGGGAGCGCATGCATTTTTAATTCACACATGACAGTCAATTATGCTGAATCATTATTTTTTTTTGTACAAAATAAATAATTGAGTAAATGTAGAT